GAGAAAAACTTAACAATTGAAAATTGGAATCTCCTAAGAGAAATTTGGTAACTGATCAAGGAATCTTCTACTACACAGAAGACATAAACTTCATCTCCTTCTTCACAAAAGATGAGTTTAACAACAGAATTCCGGGGAATCTCCTACTTCACAAATAAATCTCTATCTTCAACTACACATAAGCAAAATCCAGTGGGGGAATAAAATCCCAAAGGATACCAGAACGTGTTGGGTTCGAAAAGGTTGCCAATCAAATTGAACTTGAAAAGGAGGGACTAATTAAACTAGACCTAGCAAAGAGTACCAGAACACTGGATTTGAAAAGATTTATGGGAATAAAACCAAAGGAAAGTCTATAGGGACCACACACCTCCTTGGTATAACAATTAAGTTTCTTTCAAAATTGACTTATGCTTCAACGCATGTTTGAATTTTTCTATGGCGTATTACTCCATAAACAATGGAAATGCTATGCATTTGGGTAGATGCAATGTAATAATGCACATTTAGATGTTTCACTGGAGAATGGCAATAACAAAAAAGAACTGCTGGAGAAACAAGGGACATCTGAAAAGACGTTCTTGAAAATAAGATCTTTTGCATGTTTAGATGCGTGTACTTTGAGTGGAATGTTCTAAATATGAAGAAGTGTGACCTTTAACACAAATACGAAGGTTTGCTTAAATAGAAATTCTAAAAGTGTAACCAACTAGCCCCACGTTGGGAATCATGGAGAAACTGCAATAAACCGCTTTGAGACATCCCCACGTTCTTGCTAGCTTGTGACTTGATAACTGCTTTTGCCGCCATTTATCATTGCCCGTCGAACTTATGTCTGTCGAACCTGTTTCCGACACTAATGTCTTCGTCGACCAACCTTTCTAGTTTAAACACTTTTTTTGCCTTTGTCGACGCGTCCCATTGCTCTTTTATGAAAACGTCCCTTTTTAAACCAAGATACCTTACAGCTTAAGGGTTTAATTCCTTAGTCAAAAAAAGTTTGTCAACATAAAGCTATTTTCTCTGAAAACATTATAATTTGCCCGGTGATTCCAATAAAACTTGCCTACTACAGGGCCATATGTAAAATTTTGTTGCACAAAATCGACCCATATAAGAGCCAGGAGTAATTGATGGATCACGACAATTTCTAGGCTCCAGTGAAATTGACATCTTCTCTCGGTTACCTCCATCCCAAAAATCAATATGTACATGACCACACGGATCTAATTTATAATTATAAACACGATTGAACCTCTCAAAAGCATGAACTTGATGATCATTTAAAAAAAATAGAAAAACACATGCTTAATCATAAATCATATAAATATTTTACTACCAGCTATATGCTTTATTGCTAACCTCTTTATAATATGTTTATAGTGAACATAGGTTAGAAGCAAATCAATCAATTAATAATTAAACCCGAATTAAGTAAAATAAATGTTCTAATCAGCTTCAGAAAAAATAAAATGGCCCTTAACTATTAGTATAAAACTTTTCTTTTTCAATTTTTTTATGGATATTACTGCAAGATGACAAACTTCAGTGGATTATAATCCTTTTATTTATTTAGTGTAGGATACTGACATGCTCATTAAATACTATATCCATGGTATACGAGTAAAGCAGCTCTTCCATATCCACCTGCATACAACTTCTTGCTTCTTTGTAATGAGCTACACAAGTGCTATACCATGGTTAATCCCATTATTACTAGAAAATTTGTTTTTAGTGACAGTTTTAGCGACCAAAAAAGCTTAAAAATTGTTCACTAAAACGTTCAGTGACCGATTTAGCAACCATAATTTATTGGTTGAAAAAGTGCTAGTCGCTAAGCTTTTGTGATTAATTTTGTGACCGAAATTTAGCGACTGCGAATTTTAACAAAGCCTTACCACTAGATCACTTAATATATTTTGTTAAGTTCTATACTTAAACATATATAGATATAACAAAGAAATAAAAAATTCTAAATCGAAAAGAAGCTGGAACATATCAAAAGCACTAAAATAAGTTATTACTACAAGACTTTTCATTGTCTAACAATACTAGCCATTGCATATTTCCCTCGTTGAATAATACATGAACAATGATAATCATGTTACCAACCTGAAACTACATGCCTATGTCTGATAATCAGGTTGCTGATATAAAAAAGCTCACTCCTTGTCCACCATTGATCTGAATTAAATATAAGAACACACAAACATCAAAGAAAAATTAGATATCAAAATCTGACACTCCAGATGGAAACACAATCCTGACCGCAACTTGGTAATGTGACCACATTGATTTACTCGTAAACTTACTCACCATTCCAACTGTATAAAATATGTCAGGTATGATATTGCACAAATATCTCAAAAAATCCAACCAACTATTTAAATGTTGTAGCATATTTATCCTCTGCATATGGATCAGAATCTAGCATATAGTTTGTTTCTACAGGTGTGACCGCAAATTTACTATTCATCAGATAAAACCTCTTCATCAGCTCTTGTTCGTACTTCAGCTGATGCGTAACGCTTCCTTTTTCAAAGCGTAGAATCTTCATCCCTAGAAAATATACTAGACTTCCAAGGTCAATCATATCAAATGCATTCATCAACACCTTCTTCAACTTGTTTATCTCAACAATACAACTTTCTGTTAGCAATGTGTCATCAACGTAAAGACACATAAGAATCACATTGCCATCAGATATATGATGCATATACAAACCATACTCAATTTCACATTTTCTAAATCCCCGATGCTTGAAAAATTAATTAATTTCCCTTCCTAATTCTTTTTCATAAATCTAGGAGGTTGTGACACATAGACTTCCTCTTGCAAATGACCATTTAGAAATTCTGACTTCACACCTAAATGAATTTGAGGCCAATTCCTATTTGCAGTTATAACAATCACTGATATGATTATTTCATGTCTAGCTATATGATCAAACACTTCAAAGTAGTCTAAATCAAATTTCTATAGAAATCCTCTAACTAATAACCTTGCTTTATGCTTGGCAATTGATCCACATGGCTTAAGCTTTATCTTGAAAACTTGTCTCACGCTGATTGGTTTCTTATTCTTTGGAAAAAACAGTCAATTTCATGTCTTGTTACTTTCAATAGCCTCAAGTTCTTCCATCATTGCTTTCACCCACACTTTCTTCTTGAGAGCCTCATCAATACTGATATGTTTAGAGTCCACCATCATGACACATTGTATTACTTCTCCTTCAAAGTCAACCTCGGAATCATGTTGTAACTTAAAATTTTCAAGTCTGCTTGGTATTTGTGTAACTCTTAGTGGCATCCAGAACTGCGCAAGTTCACCTTCATAGCCAGGTATTTCTTTAGAAGTTGGATTATCAACATAATCTAGACTATCATCATAGGTTGGACCACCTTTAGAGGATGTATCACCATTAGAGGCTTCACTACCTTCTATGTTTGGACCACCATCAGAGGTTAGACCATCATTAAAGGCTAAACCACCTTTAGAGTCTGGACCACCTTCAGAGTCTATACCACCTTCAAAGTCTGAACCACCATCAAAGTATGAGTCACCTTCAGAGTTTGAGTCACCTTCAGATTCTGAGCCACCTTTAGTTAGAGTCATCTTCATAGGCAAAATCTCCCTTAGACTTGGAATCTCCTTTAGAATTACCTTGATGACACTTTGTCATTACATATATTTTTTTGAAGAAACAAAGAGAAACAAGTCAAAGATGACCAAATCTTAAGAATAACAGCCGAATTATACAAAAATGTCCTAGTATGAAGAAATACAGACTTGGGGAAATTTGGATGAAAAAGGGACGAAAATAAAGTAACTTACATGAATAATCGCGCCATCCATCACGTGCGTGATGGACCTGTAAAAGTTTGTATTGCATGCACGATGATGTCTATGACGTGCGTGGTGGACCCTTTTCTGGTCAAATTCATACACGTTTTGACTGTTTTTTGAAGACTTTAAAAGGATATTTTAGCATCTTTTCTTTAGTTCTGCAATTTTACAGTGCATGTGACAATTTACAACACTGGAAGTAAATTTTGAAGTGCATTTGAAGCCATTGGAGGCCAATTCTTCAAGAATAATAACATGCAAACTTCTTCTTTTTATTTGGTATTGTAATTTAATCATTATGAGTAGCAAGTTTCTCTAGGTTATGTTTTGTATGATGAACCTATTTTAACACTATTGGGAGATGTGTTTGATTTGTTATTGCATGAATAATTTGAGTTATAATTTTATTCAATTGCTTCTTGTTCGTAATGTTTTTTGTGTGAGATACTCTTTTAATCTGATTTTGGGAGCATAGAGATACCAACGGGCTATTGCATCGCCTAATCTCACTTACGCCGATTTGTGAGTGCAACTTCACCATTAGATGTTTTTAAAATTTTCAAAACTAGAAAACCTTAGCATTTCTGTATATTGGATGATATCTCTGTTTCATTTGATGCATCCTTGCATTAGAGGTCTTAGAAAGCATTCAACAAAAGTTTAAATTTGGCAAAAAAACATGAAAAATCATTTTCTGCACAAAAATAGTAGCATTTACTGTCACACCCGCTTTTTAGACTGACACATGTACGATGTTATTAAAGGTTGTAGCCTCCATATTGCATAGGTCCACACATAGACTGTTTGAGGTCGACCTATTATGAAAAATAATAGTAAGTTCCAACACATAATATTTTCAAGCCAGCACGTGTGCTGCATTATTAAAGCCTGAAGCTTCTATTTCTCATGTGTCGGCACATGACCCTTTCAGGTCGGCACATGCTGTATGTCTTAAGTATATGTGCCGACACATCTGTGTTTCAGGCCAGAACATCCAGTTAGTTTGGTAAAAATTTCTTAATTGTTTTAATTATGAAATTTCCCTCTTTGTCTCTAGATTTCCATAACTATAAATACATCATTCATGCATCACTTCAATTTGATGATACTAAAAACACTCACCACCATTTCTTTTCATCTTCAACCTCCAATCTATGAAAAGAGGCTTTTTCATTTATGAAGAACCTTTGGTTCTAGAGTTTCTCCTGCTTCATTGTGACTTTATGTTTTTTGAGGATAGGGATAGTTGGAGTTGGCGTCATTCTAGTGACAGGATCTTCTCGATCTCTTCAACTTATCAGCTTCAGGTGAGCACAAGGATCCTCTTGAGTCCCATTATTTATAGGAGAACCCTAATCTCTCTCGAATTTAGGAGAGTTGATCCCCATCCAAGGTCTATGTGTTTTACTGAAAAATTCTGCAAGATAAGTTCCCATCTAAGGAAAACCTATCAAGAGGGAGGTTATTAGAGAGTTAGGGGGCTTTCTTGTTTTTTTTTTGTGGCCATAGGTTGGAGTCGATGTCTCATTTATTTATTTCTTGTATTTTCTCATCAGCAGTTTGATATAGAATTTTTGGGTGGTTAAGGTTTCACGTGACTCTTCATATGGAGTTGGAGAATCTTTTTGAGTTTGTTTATTCGTTAGGAGGTATGTCTAAAAAGAGGGGTTGTTTTATTATGATTTGGCAGGTGGTTATTTGTTCGATTTGGATTGTGCGGAATGATAAGCTTTTTCTAGTAAGTGAACTAATGTGAAAGAGGTGGAGGATAAGAGTGTCCATTTGGCATGGTCTTGGTTTCATAATAGATCTGGGATGAACTCCATCTATTTTGGATTTGGCTTCAAAATCCTATCTTGTGTCTTTATCGATAGCTGTTCGAGTGTTCTGTCATGCTTCTCTGAGGTTAGTGATCCTGGTTTTTCTTGTGGTTCTCTCCTTCTTTTATTGTCGGGCCTTATAGTAAGAATTCTAGTTTGTTGCTTCGATTTGGTAGGTCTGTGGTGTTTTTAGTGATATTACTAGCATCCTTGGGTGTATCATGCTTTTGGTGTGGTGGTTATTTCTTTTGGTGGTTATTTCTTTTTCTATATGTGATTATTGTTTTTGTTTTTGTTGGGCACTTCTTGTGCCTTCCGGTTTTGTGAGGAGATTTCTACTTCTTGTGATACTTTGGTTGTTTTTTGTTTTCTTTTATATATAGAGAGATGATATTCGGATTTTGATGAATATCTGTTAGAAGAGTTTTGATGAGAGTGACAATGAAAATCGTCTAGGATTTTTACAAAGAGAATGACGAAATAACATTAGAGCGTTGATAGGTAAATTAAAAGTTAGAAACTAATTAGTTTAATGAAGTATTTCATGTAAAAGATGTGACACATCGAGTTTACATTAAAACTGATGTGAAAGTGTTAATTAAAATTAGATAATATAAAAAAGTGCAATAGCGGCATAATATGGAAATTCCTTTCAATTATATATCACGTGGATTATTTTGAAAACTGAGAGAATTGAATATACAAAATAAAAAAATTTAAAATGGACTTTTGAAAAATATTGATGTAAAATATATTAACTCTCAGTTGGATCAAATAATCGAGATTAATACTCATAAAAAATGAAAAACAAAATTAACAAAAAAAAGAACAGGAAGCTAGAAAAGCGTCAAGAGATGATTATTAATTAAATCATTAAAAAAAATTCAAATGCAGTGATTGAGATTCAAAGTAAACTCTATATTCCCTCGGTTATTTTAAAAATCGAGGGAGACAATTGATTTTATTTTTTAAATAAAACATGACTTTTCCAAAAACTAAACCCTCGATTTTTTTATTATTTGAGGTGAAAGCTTTTTCATATTAGTGTAATTTAGAGTAGTGATCTACCCGATCAATCCAACAAAAATAAATTTGTTTTTTCTCGGTTTGATTTTGGCTTTATTACAAAAAAAATTCAAATTCAATTCAAACCAATTCATATAATTTAAATTAATTTAGATATCAAATTCTCTCAAAACTAAACCAAATTAGCCCACAAACCTCATTATAATATCTAACTTACCAACGAATGATCTATATCTAATTCTTTTGGGTCTATTTTTTTTGTTTGAAGTTAAAAAAAAAAAACACCTTATCCCTTGTACATTTAACTGTCACTCACCTCGAAATAAAATTATTTTTATCTGTTACACCGTCACCAAATCCAAAATTAATGTAATAAAACAAATTCAGTTTTTACTATTCTTTTATCATCAATATATAAAAACATATTTTAATATTTGCATATTGAGATGTAATTATATTTTTGTTATTGGGCCAGAGTGATCCAATATCCGGTTCACTTGACGTTACATTACATGACTCCAAACCCTAGCATTCATTTCTACGGCGGCGCAACTGCTTAACATTTCTCTTTTATATATATATACCTTCTACTGTTAATACAAACTCAACCTGAATCAATGGCGTTACTTCCATGAGTTTGATATAAATACAGGTATCTATTTGCACTACTTCTTTAGATCCGGTTCCCCCATCTACTAAATTTCACGTTATTTCATTCATATATGATACTATAATCTCTACTAAATCATGTACTATATTATGCAGCACCATCCTAAGAGTTGAAGATGAAGTTTATTCATTCTGTAGAAATTTCTGCGATGCAATCTGATTGCTCTCTTGGCAGAGTTATATTTTACTTTTCATCGGCCATAATTTCCTTGATTAAATCACGTGAGTAATTATTATTGTTTTCGTTGAGATTAATTTGAAGTTTGTGTTATGTGAGTTTGCTGTGATAACATTAAAATATATGCTGACAATTTGCAAGATTTGAATATATTTTGTTAGATTCCGGCAATTTTGATAGATCTGAGCATATTAAAGTTATATGATAAACGTGTATATGGACTCATGCCATAGTTTAATCTCCCTCTTATAGATATTCTTTTGCTTTATAGTTGTTCACTTAATTTTCTTTATGTGACAACTATATAAGTGATGTTCATTCTCTATAGTGTATCGCATTGCTAATGAATTTATGATTGTTGCAGTTGATATTCAAAATGGTAATAGATGCATATGTAGACAAGAATATTCTTCGCTACAAACATATCCAGGTTTTAATTTGAAACCCTTTTATGTGAATTTCTTATTTTTAAATTATTGGTTATTTTTTATATATATTACGGTTAAATATATGTGGTGAGTTTTGATTTACTTCTAAAAAAAATTTTGTAAAAAATTTTTTGTATGATCTCTCTCCTGTAATATTAAGATTTTCTCAAATATAATCTTGATTTTCAAATTGCAATAAAGATTTTTTCATTTTGTCAGCGTGGCAATTCACATGACATTTTTTATGTTTGAATTATTTTTTAAAATCCACGTGACATTTTGTTTGGTTATGATTTTTTTAATTTTTTATTTTTTTAATTATGAAATATAGATTCTGACACGGACACCGCTACACGAGACCACGGACACTGCTATATATGTTATAGTATTTGAGTTTCATTTTTACATCTAATATCAAAAGAGTTAAAAATATTCTAATCAAAATTAATATCTTTAATTTTTGATTGATAACATTGCTTCAATACATGTTTAACCCTTATAATCATCTTTCTTTTGGATTCGTTACTTTTGATATTAATACCAAATGAAATATATTATGCAGCTGCTCAAGATAAGTAAAGAAGTGGTAATAGATGCCACAAATAAGGGAAACATTGCACGGATTATAAACCATTCTGTAAGTTGTTTCTACTTAATTCTATCTTGGTTTTTAGTACTTCATTTCCTCTACAATGCTGTTAATCGACAAAAAAAAAAAAAAGAATGGCACAAATGTTAGTTTACATTACAAATGTTGTATGTTTCTGATAAAAATAATGAATCATTGTAATTGCTGCAGTGCATGCCAAACTGCTTTGCAAGGATTATGAGTTTGAGTGATGAGGAGAGCGTGATTGTTCTTATTGCCAAAACTAATGTTTCTGCTGGTGAAGAACTAACATACGGTTTCATGTATAGAAAAAAGTTTATTTCAAAATATGCAATTGAATGGAAAAACGTTATATATAAACTTTGGTGCATTTAATAAACAAACCGTGTAGTTGGCCAAGGTGTTAAGTTGTTGGCTTAATAGACACAAGGGCGGTTTTTCAACACCTGTTCAAAAGCAAAAATTCAATTTGAGAGACAAAACGTCAACTCCAATGAAAGCACTATTGAGGATGGTACTTATGCAACTATTGAGGATGGTACTTATGCAACCATTCCAAATCCTGAAAGAAACTCAGATTCTGTAAACAAGCCAAATTAAAGGACCTCAGCCGCGGCTTGTGAAGCAAATGATGAATGGGTTTTCAAACAGAAAACATTTTTATTTTTTGCTAGGGATGTGTTTTCTTATGAAGAAATTGAAAAACAGATGATCAACTCTAATGAAAGCATTGTTATGTAAACATTCCAAATTCTGAAACAAACTTGATTATGTATACGGGTCAAATTAATAAACTTCAACCATTTAGGTCTGTGAAGTGTTTTCTCCCCATATTTATTTACATTTTTTTGTACTATTTCAACTTTGTTGACACATGTTATGTTAGACAATACCACTCAAAGCCTTTTTTATTACATTTGGTGGTGCTTCTATGTCAAAGAGTAAAGAAGTTAGAGCGTAAAAGCAAGATACTAGCACTACTACAAATAATATATACAATGATGCCATCTTTACCACGACCCATAGGGACTTTAGTGATATCATATGTGTGGTAATCAGTTCGATTCTCAGCGTTTACAAATACGTGATTTTTTTACGTAATCTAGATAAGCCTTTAATTTTTATTTTAAAAACAAAAGTAATATCACCACGGTTCATTACAATAACCGTTTTGATATATTTTCCATTTTTATTAAGGGTTAAATATGTTTTTGATCCCTCTAAATAAAGAGACTTACAATTTTAGTCTCTCTATATATTTCCTTCAAAGAATTGTTCTCCTAAAAATTTTAATTTTTGGTCCCTCATGGCAAAACCATAGCTAAAATCGTCTCTAACTTTGTCGCTAAATTAAAGGAGAGACCAAAAGTTAAAATTAAATTTTTTAGGAGGACCCATATTTGAAGAAAATATTTAGAGGAACTAAAGTTGAAAACCTCTATATTTAAAGGGATCAAAACTTATTTAACCCTTTTATTAATTTTCAATGTCTAAAAATCTAGCGCTTTTTTTATAAAATATCAATAATGTGATTCTATATCATTACGATTTTTATAGATAACCGTTGCGGTATAATTTTTTTTTCTTTAAATTTTTAAATTCTTAAAACCTGGCGCTTTTCATAAAATTTCATCTATTATCACAACATGTTTAAATGTTAATCATGGTGATATGTAGTATTCACTATAAGGTAACAGAACTAGCTAGCTAACATGTCTCTTCACTTCTATTTTTTCATTTCCATCACGAAACAACGTTATTTCAACCCTAACGAAAAACACCATTTCAACCCTAACGAAACAACACCATTGCAACCCTAACAAAAAATATCAGTATCATCCATTTTAAACAGCATATGTTCTTTAGTATCGTCTGGAAGGAGCCAACGCAATTTGAAACATCATTGATTCTTTCGTATCGTCTGGAATGAGCCTTTGGTTTAGCTTTTGAGGAGAAACTCAAAGAAGGAGTCAATCCCGTTTTTTACTTATTCATCACATTTTCGTTTATAGTACGTAAACATCTTCCCCATGCATCTACAGTACCGTTATTTTCCATTGTTTATATTGTCATTGTTGTTGATGATGCTATTGTTGTTGTTGTTGATGCTATTGTTGTTGTTGTTGTTTCTTATTGTTGTTGATGCCATTGTTGTTGATGATGCCATTGATGTTGGTTATGTATTTACTATTACTTATGCCTTGTTATTGGTGATGCTATTATTGTTGATGTTGTTGTTATTGATGATGATGTTATCGTTGTTGTTGTTGTTGTTGATGATAGATGACAACTTCCTCTGCCTTTGCATCTTCTTCATCCGATAGCGACAAAGATACGTGTACAAGTGAAACCAATGCAAACGATGTAACGCCCATAATTTAATTAATTATTTAATTAATTTATTATTTTTTGGATTATTTGTGAAGTTGTAAGATGTTGAGAATTATTGGTATAAGTTGTTGGATTATTGTTAATTAATTTATTAGTTGATTAATGATAATGATATTGTTGGAATTAAGGGAATATATATATATATATATATATATATATATATATATATATATATATATATATATATATATATATATATATATATATATATATATATATATATATATATATATATATATATATATATAAAATGTTGGACTTAAGCTATTGGTTGCAAGTAGTAAAGTGAGGGTAGGTTAGGCCCATTAAGAACTGGTATATAAGGAGAAGCTAACACAAAGATTTATTTTGGTTGGAGAATAAGGATTTTGTACGCTGACCGGTAGAGCTACGCGGACGAGAAGCAAGTTGCCCGATGTCGAACAAGAGCAAATCAAGAATTACGGGCGAAGCTTTGGTTGAGTGACCTTCAATCCAGGTAAGGGTGGGGTTCTGACCTTATAATGGGACTTATGATGCGTATTATGTGGGAATTGGCCGTTTTTGAACATGATGTGTGTTGATGTTTCTGAATTGCTATTGAAGTTGCCCATTTTATTCATGTTGTGGTCGTTGGGAAGAATATTGTAAGACTGGTTAATGGAGATGTTACAGGGAGTTGCCCGATTGTGTGTTGTAGATGTATGGTGTATCTATGTAACTTCCCGGTTAATCGATGGATAGGTTAGGATAGTTGATTTAGGGTCGTTAGGACGTTAATTTATTCTGAGCGATTGGCAGGAAAAGTTGATAATTGTTGTAGTGGTTGTTTTATGGAGGTTCTGCGTGACTGTCTTGTATGTTGATGAATTTATCGATAGGAATATAATTGCCTGTTACTATGTTATTATGAGCGGTTGGCTGGAAGTTATGATTTATAGTGGTGTGGTAGTTAAGACGTTATATCGTGATTGTGTTGTTGGCCAAATTAGTGGTCGGGGAGGATACTGAAGCAGTAGGTACCGAGTGGCGTTTTAGGTTGTGAGGCGTGTCGGCATATGTGTTGGATTATCGAGCAGTACTAGGTTGCAGGACGTGTCGAGGAACATAGGTTGGTCGTTACCATCTTCTTCTCTGTGCGTGTCGAGGAGTATGATTTAGTTGTATGTTGTCTTAGTTGTTGTGCATGTCGAGGCGCACGTAGTTCCCTATCCATTCTGCCTGTACATGCTGTGTTTTGATCGTTAACCGTGTTGTGTGAATTATTATTAAGTTGTTGTCTGGTTATATTAATGATTGAACCGTTGATTGATGTGATATGTCTATGGCCAACGTTGTTCTATGCTGATTTATGTTGAATTATGATTAAGTTGAGGGCTTATGTCAATGTTGTTGTGTTGTTATGATTGTTGTTGTGAATTATTGTTGATGATGCGAAGTTGCAGGGATGGTTTAAATGATGATGAATTACATCTATTTACTGGTAATAATGGTTATGTGGGCTTATGCCTTGTGATGATGATGATTGTTGTGAGTATGTGATAGTGCATTCGTATACATTTGCATACTTTGTGATGGTCTGGATTGGCAAACTGCGAAGAAGGCCTATGTCTTGTTGATGCCTCTATTTATTGGCAATTTTTAAGATGAGAGTTCTGCTCTGTTTTTAAGATGAGAATTCTGCTCCAATGGTACCACATGCATTTTCATAGTATTGAGTCGCATTCCAAGTTGTATAATTGAGCTGTTGTGATGATGAATTAGTTGTTGTGTTTTGTTGATAGCTTGTTGTGATGGTTGTTGTTTATAAATTGTGAAGTGGTGATTTTTGCTTGAACTGACTGTAGTGTAATTTTATCATATGTTCTATTATAATGTTCGATATCTCACCCCTTCTGTTTGAATGTTACCCTTATGTTGGTAACGTGTAGGTAATCCAGAGTGAAGGCGGTTTACCTTCAGTAGTTCGAGTCCGTGTCATTGCTCTGATACATAACACTCGGGGGATGAACGCTTGATGTTTAGTTGTTGATTATTTCAATTGTTGAACTTTAAGATGTTTGTGGTTAAGTACTTGTTATTCAGAAGTTGCTTAATGTTGGATAAAGATGTTATTATGATTCCGCTGCATAGTTGTTCAAATTGTTGATTTAAAAGATTAATTTATTTTGTGTTGGTTCATCCAAAATTTTAAAGTGTTATATATTCACGTTCATCCAAAATTCTAGTCAATTTTTCCCTGTTCATTTAGCCGTCACACACCACTAGTCAATTTTTTCACTCTTCCACCCTTTAACCATTTTAAATCCAAATATTAATATAATTAAACACCAATTTTTAAAGAAATTTTTATATTTAATATTGAGCTGTATTAATGTTTTTGTTAATGGGCCAAAGAGAAAATGAACCGATTACATAATTTCAATTCCTAGGTAGACAAACCCTACGCTTTAAATTCTACTGCGCTACAACTTAACCATTCTTTAAATAATGAGTTTTATTTAAATAATGGTATGCATTTGCTCAACGACTTGAGATTTGACTCCTCCATCTAAATCTCACTTAATTTCATTCGTATGTTATATTTTAAAATATACTAAATCTTGTTTTAAATTATGCAGCTTTAATCAAACAATTAAACATGAAGTTTATATATTCGGCAGAAATTTCTAGAATGCATTCTGATTGGTCTCTTGTGTTAGAGTTATATTTTTCCTTTTAGTGACTATGATTTCTTTGATTAAATAAGGTGAGTTTAGTTTGCTTAGCCTTATTTCATAAGAAAATCTCTTGTGCATGAGTTATATTGAAAATCTTAATTATAATTCTGAAAATAATTATAACTAAGTAGGATGAAAAAATCAACCTAATAGACTTTGTTCAACGAGCTTCAGACTGATATTACAAATTACCATTTCTATTCTAATAGCTATAAAAATTCCACTTCACTGTATCTCCATTCTTTTATTATTCAATTGCGTGATCTTTCTAATTTTTTTTATTAA